GTCATTACTGACGTTGAATGATAACAAAGTCTCGATTATCCATTTTTACGTTAAATTATCCGTCACAAAATCTATTCAAATCCAGTAAATATCACAGACTAACGATGGCATCGAGAGTTGATTATGGTCTGGATAAGTTAAATTCCAATTAATAGCTAATATTTCAGGCCCAAAGAATTGCCTGTAGTAGGCAGATTAATCTCTTGCATAATGTATGTTTAACCGACATGTTAATGCCTATGTACATCTATTTTAGTGGACAGCACTAAGTATACATTGAGAATTTATTCAGTTTCCAAGTCTATATTTAATGAGAAATTGAAAAATGTTTATCTTTGTGTGCTTGAAAAATGTAAAACGGAGTAGTACCGCAAAACAAAATAATACACCAATTTTTATACGTCCACATTCATAACGTGGACGTATTATGCCGTCGCCCCTGTCTCTGTGTGTGTGTGTAGGTGTGTGTGTCTGCAGGTCGCCTACATACGCACAATTCTTACTGGATTTCTTCAAACTTTGTATACTTATTCCTTATACCCTGAGGATGATCCCTATTGTTTTTGGTGCATGCCCGACCCCCAGGGTCAGAGCCACGCACATATTTTGTATTTGTTTGTCGTCTACAGGCCGCATTTCTTAACGCATCATCTTGAAACTTTGCATACTTATTCTTTGTACCGCAAAGAACACCCCTATCGTTTGGTGTGCATGCCCAACCCCCAGGGGCAGAGCCACGTCCATTTTCTTTTTCTCTGTCTGTGTGCCGCCTACAGGCCACAATTCTTAAGTTATCATCTTGGATTTTTACATTCTTATTCCTTATACCATAAGGATCCTCCCTATTGTTTTTGGTGCATGCCCAACCCCTGGTGGCAGAGCCACGGCCATTTCTTGTATTTGTTTGTTTGTCGTCTACAGGCCGCATTTCTTAACGTATTATCTTGCAACTTTGCATACTTATTCTTTACTAACAGATTTGAATCCAATTCGGAACGATCCAGCATAGGGCAATCTGTTTAACAGAGAATTAAGAGTCTAGTAGTAATATCTCTGTCAAAGATGACTGCCTTAACACGTGCCGTCACAGCACGCGGTGTCGATCATTGGCTGAATGGCACGTGCATTGTTTACATAAGACATTACTGCTTCGGGCGGAATGCTGCCTTTTAGTCATTTTAATACCCATTAAATAGGAAATAATTTTTATCTACAAATACGCCAAACGCTTTTATTCATTTTTCCAATACATAAAAAAATGTTTTAGAATTTAATTTGTCGCAGGAAAAAAGTTAATATTTCTGGCTCATTAAGTCCATGTTCAACCCCGAAAGGCAGAGCCACGCCCAGTTTTTTATGTTTTTTGACTACAGACTGGAATTCTAAATGGATTATCGTGGAACTTGACATATTTATTCCTTATACTGTAAGGATAGCAACTATTTATTTTGGTGCATGTCCCGACCCCCAAGGTTGTGGTACCACACCCACTTTTTTGTTAGTTTTTATCGGTAAATACTCTACAGGTTGCAATAATTAACAGATTTTGTTCAAATTGAGATTATCAATCATTTCAATAACAGGGTGGTGCCTATTTATATTGTTCCGTATCCAACCCCCAGCAGCAGAGTCACGCCCAATTTTTGTATTTATCGTCTACAGACTGCAATTCTGAATGGATCATCTTGGAATTTTGCATATTCATTATACAGCAACTATTTATTTTGGTGCATTCCCCGACCCCATGGGGGGTTGGATGGCCGAATGGTTAGCACGTGCCTGTCATTGAGTCAACTGGCGTGGTTTCGAATCCCCGGTTGTACGTGACAAGGAGTAGGGTCACCTGTCCAACCTCGTGGGTTTTCTCCGGGTCCTCCGGTTTCCTCCCACTGCTAAAGACCCCTACGCGCAAGCATATTATTGAAATAAAATTAAACCATGTTAGTCCCGAAATGACCTTGTTTGTGTCGAGTGGACGTTAAACCCCATTTCTCTCTCTCTCTCTCCCCGACCCCATGGGGCAGTGTCACGCCCACTTCTTTCTTAATATTTTGTCTGAAAATTTGGCAAAACAAACCCAACGCCTATAGCCTTCTTTGCTGCTTGTCATATTACAACCGTTTAATACTTCATTCTCTTCATTTTAAAAAGTACCATATCAATCCAAGCAGGAACGATGACGTATATTGCAGCGTTAGCGATGCTCTCGTTCAATATGGCTGTCATCCAGGACAGATTTGTTCTCAAAGTAGAAAGTTCTCTGTGTGGAGAATGGGAGTTCGTTCCCCTTGTCAGCCACTATACAACATACTATAAATTTTAGGTAATCGAAAGAACTAGCAGGACATACTGGAGGTTATTCGCCTAGGTCGGTAACGATAAACCTCAACTTGCGATATGCCCAACCTGTGGCCAACAGATCATTCCCTCGTCAGGTCCTGGTTTTCGTTTATCAATCTGGTTTCTCTTTCCAAAACGTTGAACCTGACAGATCTATTGCCCTTTGGTTGGAAAGCGAATTGAAATGGGCGTTTAACGTCTTTAGCCAATCGGCTAATGAAGACGGGCAAAGTCATGCAGTGTGCCGTGAGGGACATTTTGCCCGCGCAACTGACATGTTTTCTCTTTTATACTAGGGCGGGGTGGGGGGTGGATGACCGAATGGTTAGCACATACGCGGTGTATCATAAGGTCTGTATCATAAGGTTGTACGTGACAAGGAGTAGGATCGCCTGTCCCTATGGTTTCCTCCTACTGATAAAGACCCCTACGCGCAAGCAAATTATTGAAATAAATATTAAACCATATCTTAGTCCTGAAATGACCTAGTTTGTGTCGATTGGCCGTTAAACCCATCTCTCTCTCTCTCTCTCTCTCTCCCTCTCCCTCTCTCTCATTGGAGCCCGGGGGGGGGGGGCTCGGTGAGTACAATGTTAGCTCGCTAACTAGGCTTTCGGCGCGGTTTCTCCATGTTAGTGGTGCAGGACGAGAGGGCCTGGCAAGGAGAGTGTCTAGTCGTTTAGGCGAAGCGAAATACAGAGGATCGGTGTACACATCTCCTTACACGTAATGGACCTATGACAGTTGGAATTAACAATAAGAGTAGGCTTTAGCGCCGTTGTGGGGGCACAATTTTACCCCTAGCACATTGTATGGCGTAAGCCCATCTTGATCGTCCCAGTCACAGCAGTAAACCCATCTTTCTCATCCCAGTCAGAGTGGTAAGCCCATCTTCCCCATCCCAGGCAGAGCAGTATGCCCATCTTCCCCATCCCAGGCAGAGCAGTATGCCCATCTTCCCCATCCCAGGCAGAGCAGTATGCCCATCTTCCCCATCCCAGACAGAGCAGTATGCCCATCCTCCTGGTCCCAGTCAGAGCAGTATGCCCATCTTCCTCGTCCCAGTCAGAGCAGTACGCCCATCTTCATCATCCGAGTCAGAGCAGTAAAATGGGATGTTAAACCCCATTTAATTTCGTTATCTTTTTTTACAGGTGAATAAGTTAACTTTTTACCAAACCCATTCCTAATATGTATAAATATATAAAAGAACAGAATGTCGCCTATATATGAACTTACTAAACAGGTAGACACAGCGGTCACTTACCACATAATTAAATGTAAGTAATGTATTTTGTTCTCTTAAACCAAAATAGAAGTTGTATGTTGTCGTCACCCATGGCTTTCCGTCAGTTCACTACTCTAGGAAATGGTATATTCAGAAAATTTCTATATTTAATGGTCTGTACTGATATAATGGAAATTTCAATATTTCATTATTTGTAATTTAGAAAAAATATTAAACATACATTATGCAAGAGTTAAATCTGTCTATTGCAGGCAGGTCTTTAGGGCAGAAATATTTTCTAAATTATTAACATTTGTTAACAAAACAAGACCATAACCAACTCTCGATGGCATCGGATACTCGAGATTTTAACTAGATTAGAACGGTTCACGATTTAAAAATTTAATTGGGAAAGCTAGGCTTTCATTTTATATTGTCTATTTTTTAGCTTTTAGTGCTATGAGGGAAATGATAATATCTCGGTTCAAAGCTATAATGTTGTAAAGTTACGGTGACAACGGCAATATGCCACATCTACCATATTTGGAGCGGATCGCCGCGGCGAACCGTGATTCGCCCAGGGCCCAAATTCGATGGCCTGCTAGTTAAATTGATATCAACAGACGCACAGACATGGTTTATTTTATTTATATAGAAAATAGATAACTGTTTTCATTAAACATACACTATGCAAGAGCTAAATCTGCCTACTGCAGGTCTTTCTTTAGGCCAAAAATGTTATCTAAATTATTAATTAGACATTAATTAACTTATCCAGACCGTAATCGGCTTCCGACGTCATCGCAAGCGTGCCATATTTACTGGATTTGAATACATTTTGTGGTCGATAATGGATATTCGAGACTTTGCCATATCAACGTTAGTAATGAGTGTGAGAACTGTCCGCTTTTTATCTAATCTCCCATAATGGCCTTTTATCTCATTCTTATACAGGGGTTTGGATGGCCGGATGATTGGCCCGTTCCGTCATAAGATCTGTAATTGAGTCAACTGGTTGCCCGGCTGTACGTCACAAGGAGTAGGGTCGCCTGTCCAACCTCGTGGGTTTTCTCCGGGTCCTCCGGTTTCCGCCCACTGCTAAAGAACCATAATGTAAATCCCGAAATGACCTAGTTTGTGTCGAGTGGACGTTAAACCCTCCCTCTGATATTGCACAGAGGGTACTACCAGAATATCACCCGGAAATGTCATCATTAAAAAGAGGAAGATTTTATTTAAATTAATTATTACACTTAAATCACACTATCAGATGGTTTCCTTTCCGTCTGAATTCTTTTCTGTGTAATTTAGATTGAAGCAACCAAAGTGGCCACGATAATTTAATGAGATCGTCATACCAGTTTATACAAATTACATTTAATTTAATTTTGAATATCTTTCCCTCGTTTCTGTGATTTGTGTAACATTGCCTATGTCCCCGTACTAATCATTTTTTCTTGGCAGATTTTGTGACTTTGACCTCGGCCTTGGTTACCGACTTGATGACACCGACAGCAACGGTTTGTTTCATATCACGTACGGCAAATCGACCGAGTGGGGCGTATTCGTTGAAGGACTCGACACACATGGGTTTGCTGGGTACCAAAACAACCAAAGCAGAATCGCCTAATTTTACAAATTTGGGGGCATCCTCCAACTTTTTGCCAGATCGTCGATCGCATTTCTCTTGGATTTCAGAAAATTTACAGGCAATATGGGCGGTGTGACAATCCAAGACTGGAGAGTAGCCATTTCTAATCTCTCCTGGGTGGTTCAGAATGACGACCTACAAAATAGAAAATCATATTAGAAACATTAGACATAAAGATACATTATGGGAGATTAGATAAAAAGCTGGCAGTTCTCACTATAATATTTAAAAACTAGATAGTGTAAAGGGAATTTGCTGAAAATTTCAATCAAATTGATCCACTATGAACCGATATTTAAGCGATTGAATTTACGGCCTAGTATTGGTCATCATTACTAAAGTCAGTACAATAAAAAAACGTCTCGATTATCCATTTCATGATTAAATTATGAAAGTCGAACAGGAAATCGGAACCTAATCCAATAAACATCGCAGGCTAGCGATGCCATCGAGAGTTGATGGTGCTCTGGATAAGTTAAATAATTACCTGCAATAGGCAGATTTAGCTCTTGCATAATGTATTTTTAAAGAATTCAAGGGAATTGTACACGCCATAGTTCTACTGAAGTATCACTTAAGCGATCTTTCTAGTATCACTCAGCAATAAACTACTGACAAGTTAACGAAGCATCAATCTTATCGCAATTCAAGAGAGTTTATTAAAAACACAACGGTTTAAAGATACATTATGTAAGATTCAGATAAAGAGTCGACCATCCTTGCTATAATATCTCAAAAATAGATAATGTAAAATGAAAATATTAAAAATTACTTCATTCTGAGCCAAGTTTTCACTTTTTGAAGTTTTGACAAGATGTGTGCATTGTGGTAACCAGGGCACTTGTATATTTGAGACTTAGCCTCGCTGTCCCATTTTTAAATTTAATTTTTAAATGGCGAACCATTCTAATCTAGTTAAAATCTTGAGTATCCGATGTCATCGAGAATTGATTATGGTCTTGTTTTGTTAATAAATGTTTACTTAATAATTCATATAAAAGGCCCAAAGAAAGACCTGCAATAGGCAGATTTGGCTCTTGCATAATGTATGTTTTAATGAATACAACGAGACCTAAAACTCTTCTAGCACATAAACCATAATGTCATCCGACTTTTTGTCGAGTTATGAGCAATTACCTAGTGTTAGCGTGTTAAAAGAGCACTATTATAAATCACCTACAAATTATCTCAGAAATTTTATGCAAAGATGGATTATCCCAATGCTTGCAAGATTATATTAAAGTAGCTAAGTCTCTAACTCAATATCATCCAAAACCTTCGACAATGAAAACACAAATTATTTGTCAATTTAAATCAACATTGGTGTTGTGATCTTACCGGGAAAAGATGGGCTTCTGATATCCAATATTTAAAACAAAATAAATATTTTACGATTGGTACACGAATCGTGTACCATAATGCATTTCAGCGCAATTTGTAACGAGCGACTCAGAAGAACGAGGTTAGACATATTCCACAAGTCATGTCAAACGGTGACCCCATATTCTTATCTGGAGAGAATGCGCAATAAATACTATCGGTGTAGACAGGAATAACCAGACGCTAGAGATTGCCTTTCGATTGAGACTTTTGGCGTATTTCGCCGAACATAACTCATTTGAAATTAGAGTAAAAACGGAAACGATTGAATGTAAATCAGTTTATTTATATTCATATTACATAATTATATACGTTGCGACCTATTTGTGTCAATTTGTAGGTCCCAAATATTAGCGATTTAGCTCCTGTAATGATCTCTCTGAATGTTTTATCGCATGCGCTTTAAATCATAACATAAGAAGATATGCCATTGAGTAAAGTGGTATAATTTTGATTAACGGCTTGTCCTCTGATTTCCTTCCACTGCTAAATGAATTAATGCAATAAAAAAAACACGTTAATCGAGTGGACGTTAAACCCCCATGTCTCCCTCTGAATGGTTTATCGTGTGCGTCTTTGGTCAGTCATGATGAGTAGGGGTCCTTCCATTGCTGAAGACCATCGCTTGATTGTGAAACCCCACTTCTCTTCCTTGTGGTCTCTCTTCTCTCTCTCTCTCTCTCCCCCTCCTCCCTCTCCTCTCTCTCTCTCCCCCTCCTCCCTCTCCTCTTCCCCTCTCTCTCTCTCTCTCTCTCTCTCTCTCTCTCCCCTCCTCTCTCCCTCCCCCTCTCTGTATCTGTATATAAGTACATAGTTGTCAACGGATTATAATCGAAATTTTCTGTGGTTTTCAAACTATGCTTCCAGTCCATGATAGTTTGCATAGTTGGTTAGAATAATCGTTGAAATGAGATGAAATGGAACTTAAGGTCCTTAAGGTTCTTAAGGTCCCTTCGGGATGCACGCCTGGTAAGGTCCTGTGTGTCTACACAGTTGTATTTTAATTACCATCGGGACAAAATGTCCCTCTCGTATCCCACTGGAAGGATTATTTCCAGTCTAAATTAATTCAAGCAAACAGGTTATCCACTATTGACAGTCTGCCTACAATGCTTACATATATTTCTGAATCCTAATCATGAAGGGAGTATTGCCAGTCTAAATTAATTCAAGCAAACAAATTATCCAGTATTGACTGTCTAGAGTGTTTACATATATTTCTGAATCCAAAACATGTAAGGGGGTTGGATGGCCGAGAATCGTTAGCACGTGCGTGCTGTATCATAAGGCCTGTCATTGAGTCAACTGGCGTGGTTTCGAATCCCCGGTTGTACGTGGCAAGGAGTAGGGTCGCCTGTCTAACCTCGTGGATTTTCTCCGTTTCCTCCGGTTTCCTCCCACTACTAAAGACCCCAACGCGCAAGCGAATTATTGAAATAAAATTAAACCATATGTTAGTCCCGAAATGACCTAGTTTGTGTCGAGTGGACGTTAAACCCCAGCTCTCTCGCTCTCTCTTTCCAAACATGTAGAAGTCTTAAGATTACTAATTACCTGGGCAGTGAAATCTTTTGCGCCCTTGGGTTTGTCATTCTTGCTGTCTCCTGCCACATATCCACGTTTCAACTCCTTCACAGAGACGTTCTTGACGTTGAATCCAACATTGTCACCAGGTAAACCTTCAGTCAAAGATTCGTGATGCATCTCAAAAGACGTAACCTATAAAAAAAATCTCCAAATTGTACACCTTTACTTGTATTGATAATTAGTTCATCAGGATTAGACACTTTTGGCAATCGTAAAGTTCTGCGCCCTATCGCGTATCCGTATTGATTTTGCGTGTGACGTCATCATTGCGTGTGTATTTCTCATACGTGATACGGGACACAGATACGGCAGCACGTATCGAACAGCTTTCATACGGAAAAGGTCAGTATAACATCGTCGTCTTTTTTTTACCGTATTATTTGCTGGTTTTAGACGTATGTGGACGTATATTGTCGTCGCCCCTGTCCGTCCGTTCCGGACGTCCGTCCACAATTGTTTGTGAACAGTCTACAGGTCACAATTTTTATCCGATTTCAATGAAACTTGATATATAGGTTTATCACCCTAAGATCTTGGTTCCTTTCGATATTGGCATGTATCAGACTGTCACTTCATGGATTATGGCCCCTGATTGTACAAAAAATCACGTTTTTGGCTTGTGAACACTGTAGAGGTCACAATTTTTATCCGATTTGGTATAAACTTGAAATGTATGCTTATAACCCAAAGATCTCGGTTCCTTTCGATATTCGTGCATATCGGAACGTAACTTACTGAATTATGGCCCCTGATTGTACGAAAAATTGCATTTTTAGCTTGTGGACCCTATAGAGGTCATAATTTTTATCCGATTTAAAAAAACGTATTATTATATCACGTTCCACCCTAAGGACGACTGAGTTCGAATTTTGTGAAATATCGGCCCAAAACTGACAGACAAAATGGCCGCCCCTCGTTCTCAAATTGCGTAAAAATATGGTATATCAAGGTTGTGGACCCTATAGAGGTCACAATTTTTATCCGATTTTGTTGAAACTTGAAATGTAAGTTTATAACCCAAAGATCTTGGTTCCTTTCGATATTCGCGCACATCGGACCGTAACTTACTGAATTATGGCCCCTGATTGTACGAAAAATTGCGTTTTTAGCTTGTGGACCCTATAGAGGTCATAATTTTTATCCGATTTAAAAAAACGTATTATTATATCACGTTCCACCCTAAGGACGACTGAGTTCGAATTTTGTGAAATATCGGCCCAAAACTGACAGACAAAATGGCCGCCCCTCGTTCTCAAATTGCGTAAAAATGTGGTATATCAAGGTTGTGGACCCTATAGAGGTCACAATTTTTATCCGATTTTGTTGAAACTTGAAATGTAAGTTTATAACCCAAAGATCTTGGTTCCTTTCGATATTTGCGCATATCGAAATGTAATTTCCTGAATTATGGCCCCTGATTGTACGAAAAATTGCGTTTTTAGCTTGTTTTCTATCCATCTCTCGAAAATGTGGGCGTTTCCTGCCTGACAGCTGCTGGTATGAATCTATGTGTATCCTACAACACAAAGGTGTATATTTGATCTGATTTTAACCATGATAAAGACTGTAATATAATCATTATTTTTGATGAGCATTTCGCGGAATTTTCATATTTTCATATTTTTGCTGTCTGCATGCTGGTTGATCTACGTTCTAAATTTAGGGAGGTGGGACTTTTAAATTTGTAAAAAGGCTATATACTTTCTGAAATGATACATTAGTGAAACCAAAAATTGTTGAAGTCGAAGATTTTTTAATAAGATTCGACACTAAATTTTTAAAAAGAATATAAATAGCTCAGCGACTGAGCGACTTTGCTCCCTTCGGGAATTTGTAGGCCAGGCACTTGATTAGTATTGCTGTTAATCTTGGTAGATAATTGCCAACATTCTGTAATAGAACTATAAGCACAGCTCAGCTACTCATACGTACGCGGCGCGAAAATCTGCCAAAACTCTAAAACTACATTGACGCAACGTATCACGTGACGATACGGATACGTGATACGGATGGAAAAAATTCTGCTTGCCAAAAGTCTCTATTGTCCGGCGTGGTTCCTCCTTGTAAGTGGTGCAGTTGTTCGGATGGGATGTAAAACCAATGTACCCTGTACACATTGGTGTCTACGTTCAAGATCCCTCGGTAGTTGGAATTTCGATATAAAAGTAAGCCGTAGTGCCACTGTACGGACAAAATTTCCCTTTCAATTAGGTACATTCGGAGCAGGACAGTAAAGATCGTAAACTCCATTTGTATGGATACTTTGAGCCCAGTCAATCTTAAGATAATAGTATTGAACTGATTTAAGGCTAGACATCAGCCTATAATTCAATTAGTTATTTTTACCGATGCCAATTAAATTTGTGTTTTATAGCTTCCCATGAAATCATTTACCGATGCCGGTTAAATTTGGGTTTTAATGGTACTGCTGCCCTGGGAAACAAATGTGCTGCCAACTCGGAAGGTTACACATTACTAATAACCATATCCGGTCCAAAAATCTATATTCCCGATCGCACATTTATTAACGCATAATAATAGCGTCATTCATGTCCGCTTTTCGGATTATGACCCTGAGAATCGCTGACTATAAAATACATACCTCAGTTGTGAGTCCAGCTGGAGCAAAAGTGACAATCATACCAGGCTTAATAATACCAGTTTCAACTCGACCTACAGGCACTGTTCCAATACCTCCGATTTTGTACACATCCTGGAGGGGAAGACGAAGGGCCTTGTTGGTTGGGCGTGTGGGTGGGAGAATAGCATCCAAGGCTTCAAAAAGGGTTTTCCCGGAAGCATTACCCTCTTTTCTTTCTACAGACCAGCCTTTGTACCACTTCATGTTTTCAGATTCTTCAAGCATGTTATCCCCAAGGTAACCAGAGATTGGTACGAAAGCTACAGCTTTAGGATTGTATCCAATTTTCTTGATAAATCCAGATACTTCCTTGACGATTTCATTAAATCGTGCTTCAGAATATTTAGGTTCTGTGCTGTCCATCTTGTTGATACCAATGATCAACTGTTTGACACCAAGAGTGTAAGCTAAGAGAGCGTGTTCTCTGGTTTGTCCTTCTTTAGAGATACCAGCTTCAAATTCTCCCGTACCAGCAGCGACGATCAACACAGCACAGTCAGCCTGTGAGGTTCCTGTAATCATGTTCTTGATAAAATCTCGATGTCCGGGAGCATCAATAATAGTTACATAGTATTTACCGGTTGCAAATTTCCACAGGGCAATATCAATTGTAATACCTCGTTCACGTTCAGCCTTCAATTTATCCAATACCCAGGCGTATTTAAAAGAGCCTTTACCCATCTACAAAAGAAACAATATCCATATCAAGCTCTAATTTTATATTTAAACTAAATAAAACCAAAAGAAATTGTGTTTATCATAAACTGACACAAACTAGGTCATTTCGGGACTAACATAATATGGTTTAATTTTATTTCAAAATTTCGCTTGCGCGTAGGGCTCATGACCACTCGGAGGAATCGGAGAACTTCGTGAGGTTGAGAGAGTGAGAGATAAATGGGGTTTAACGTCCACTCGACACAAACTAGGTCATTTCATGACTAACATGGTTTAATTTTATTTCAATAATTTGCTTGCGCGTAGGGGTCTTTAGCAGTGGGAGGAAACCGGAGGACCCTGAGAGACCCCACGAGGTTGGACAGGCGACCCTACTCCTTGTCACGTACAACCGGGGATTCGAAACCACGCCAGTTGACTCAATGACAGGACTTATGATACAGCGCACAGTGCCCACGTTCAAACCATTCAGCCACCCCCCACCCCCCCCTCCACGAGGTAGAATAGACATTTAAAAAATCGAAGTCGACCAATTGATGAGGCATTGTCCAAAGAACAAGCACCAACTCAGATTTCGTGGTAGTTTAGTGTGGTCAGACTACACCAACATCTTGGTCAGCAAAAGGTATAGGTTTTGTTGTTACAACCTACAAATCCCCGGAGGTCGATTAACATGTTGAATACTGTATTATATTTAAACATACATAATACAAGAGATACATCGATCTGCCTATTGCAGGTCGTTCTTTAGTACTGAAATGTTACCTTAATTATTAGACATTTGTTAACATGACAAGACCATAATCAACTCAACTATCGATGTCATCTTATGGATCCGATTTTCATTAGATTTGAATCGGATCTGCCGTTCAACGGCCGTTGATGATTAGCCTTAAAATGGATATTTGATACTTTGTTTATTATCGTAACAACGACAATCGAGGCTACATTGTTATTAAAATGAATATTTCTCGGCTCAAGAGGGAAATAATTTGACTGAAAGTTACATTTCAGCCTACTCTTCTGTTCAGCACGTTTTGATCCCTGCATTGGCCGAGAAATTTCATCCAGATTTTCCGGCATGGTTCCCCCCTTGTCAGTGATGCAGGACGTAGGACCTAACAAAAACAGCCGTCTAGTCGTTCGGACGGGACGAAAAACCGAGTTCCCGCGTGCACATTGGCGTGCACGTAAAAGATCCCTTGACGGTTGGAATTCGATACAAGAGTAGGCAAAATTTCCCTTATAGGACACTGTATGGCGTATATGCCCGTCTTCATTAGCCCAGTCGGTGCATAACAGTATGACGTTATACCCCATTTTATTTCATTCGATTTGAACATATTATAACGTAGTCGTGGACTCGTAGCCAGATTCCAAAGTCAAGTCGGGACCATTGGTTTTCATATTGTACTAACCTCATTGGCTTCTCTCTCGAATTTTTCAATGGTTCTTCTGTCAATACCACCACATTTGTAGATAAGATGACCGGTAGTGGTGGATTTACCGGAGTCGACATGACCAATGACAACAATGTTAATGTGAACTTTTTCTTTACCCATAGTTGTTTCTTTAGTTAGGTTGAAATCTAAAACGAAAAAAAATAATCATTAAAGACACATTATGTAAGACACATTACATAAAGTAAAATGGATATTGAAAATTTCATTTAGATTACTCGATCCTGAGCGAGGAGCCATGGTGGGTAAGACGCTGTCTCGCTAGCCTGGGGGTTGCCTTTCGATCCCTGCATTGGCCGAGAAAGTTCATCGGGATTTTCCGATGTGGTTTCCCCTTGTCAGTGGTGCAGGACGGAGGGCCTGACAAGGACATCTGTCTAGTCGTTCGGATAGGCTACATTAGCGTGCATATGAAAGATCCCTTGCAGTTGGAATTAGATCTAAGCGTAGGCCATTTTGCCCCTGTCCGGGTAAAATTTCCCTCATAGCACACTGTATGGTATATGCCCGTCTTCATTAGCCCTATGGACTGCTTTGAGGGGAATTTGCCCGGACTGCGGCTCTATGGCCTACTCTTATATCGAATTACAGCTGTCAAGGGATCTTTACGTGCATGCCAATAAGTACACAAGATTTCGGATTTTTGTCCCATCAAAACGACCAGACAGCTGCCTTTGTCAGGCCCAACATCCTGCACAATTGACAAAGCGAAACCACGTCGGAAAATCCAGATGAACTTTCTCGACCAATGTAGGGATCGAACACGCGACCTCCAGGCTAGTAAGCCAGAGACTTACCCACTTAGTCACCGTGGCTCCCGAACACTAAAAGAATGTCCATCGATAGGGCCTATATGCTGAAAAAAATACCCCTCAAGAATTACTGATCAGTCTCGAACATGTCATGCCTCTCCGGGAGTCACGGTGGCTAAGTGCATAAAAGGTGACAATTCTCGCTATAATAGTTAAATAATAGATAATGTAAATAGAATATGCTAAAAATTTCAACTTAATTACTCCACTCTGAACCGAGATATTAGCTTTTCAATTTTGGCCTAGCGTCGATCATCATTTTACTAAAGTCGGTACGTTAAAAAACAGTCTGGATTATCCATTTTTCAAAAAATGTATTCCATTCCGCAGAATACCGCAGTCTAGCCATGGCATCGAGGGTTGTTTATGGTCTTAATAACTTTTAAGTAAAATGTCTAATTAATAATTTAGGTAACATTTCAACTTGTCAGTGATGCAGGACGGAGGGCCTGACAAGGACAGCTGTCTAGTCCTTCGGATGAGACGAAAAACCGAGGTCCCGTGTATACATTGGAATGCACGTAAAAGATCCCTTGGAATTCTATATAAGAGTAGGCGATAGTGCCGCTGTCCGGGCATAGCACACTGTATGGCGTATGCCCGTCTTCATTAGCCCAGTATAGGAGCAGAACAGTAGGACGTTAAACCCCATTTCATTTCATTATATTAAGCTGTGAGAAATATGATATTTTAGTGAAAATGCAAATCCCGCATAAAGCCTTTAATAGATGTAAGATACGTGGACTACAAAAAAAAAACCCCAAAAAACTATTGTGCTTAAAATTGATTTAAACTTTTGAATCTTGTATTTAATTATACTCACCTGTTTTAACATAAAGTGAGGCAGTATTTTACTTGGTACAAACTGTTAACTCATTATAAAATTACTGTAAGGACAACTAACTAATACATATTAACTCAATATAAAATTACTGTAAGGACAACTAACTGTGATACATATTAACTCAATATAAAATTACTGTAAGGACAACTAACTGTGATACATATTAACTCAATATAAAATTACTGTAAGGACAACTAACTGTGATACATATTAACTCAATATAAAATTACTGTAAGGACAACTAACTGTGATACATATTAACTCAATATAAAATTACTGTAAGGACAACTAACTGTGATACATATTAACTCAATATAAAATTACTGTAAGGACAACTAACTGTAATACATATTAATTCAATATAAAATTACTGTAAGGACAACTTGCGGTTTTATATTCACGTATTTCATTGTGTTGTGAAAGATATTTCATCATCGTTTGACATCTTGCCAAAGTCTATATATTTTATCTTTGCATATCGATCTTTTTTTATTGATTGTACTAGAGTCTTTAAATCCTAAGGTCTGTCATGGGGTCAAGCCTCGTGGTAAAGACGACTACGCTCAAACAAATTATTGAAATAAAATCGAACCGTACGTTAGTCCCGAAATGACTTAGTGTGTGTGTGTGTCTCTCCCTCATTCCCTCTCTCTCTCTCTCTCTCTCTCTCTCTCATTACATTATCAGTGGAGAATTGTATAATACATCTGAGACAAGCAGTTAAAACTTTATTTTTGTACGCCACATTTTCATGGTGACGTATTATGCCGTCGTCCCTGTCTGTCCGTCCGTAAGGACACTCTACAGGTCACTGACTGTACGAAAAATCGCGTTTTTAACTTGTGGTCCCTAGAGGCCACAATTATTATCTGATTTAAAAAATTGTTTGAATATATCACTGTCACACCCTAAGGATGGTTGAGTTCGAATTTCGTAAAAATCACCGTTACACCATAATGTTGGTCGAGTTCAAATTTCCTGAAAATCGGACCAAAACTGTCGGACAAAATGGCCCTTCCTCTAAAGGTCACAATTTTCATGAAACTTGAAAAGTATGTTTATAATCAAAAGATCTTGGTTCCTTTCGATATTCGCGCATATCGGGTCGTAACTTCCTGAATTATGGGTCCTGATTGTAAAAAAAAAATCACGTTTTTAGCTTGTGCTCCCTCTAGAGGTCACAATTATTATCCTGTTTAGGAAACCGTTTGACTATATCAACGTTACACCATTATGTTGGATGAGTTCGAATTTCGTGAAATCGGACCAAAACTGCCCGACAAATTGGCTGCACTTCGTACGCAAATAGTGTAAACATCTGATGTATCAATTTTGATTCGATTTTGATGAAACTTTAAATTTATGTTTATATCAAAAAGATCTTGGTTCCTTTGTGATCATCGCGCATATCCAAACGTAACTTCCTGGAGTATGGCCCCTGATTGTTAGTAAATCGCATTTTTAGCTTGTTGATTATCTGGAGGTCACATTTTTTTCCGATTTTAAAAACCGTTTAAATATATCACCATTCCACCATAACGAAGGTTGAATACGAATTTTGAGCAAATCGAAATGAAACTGCGGGACAAAATGACCGCTATTTGTACGGAAATTTTGTAAAAGTATGTAATACGAAGGTTGTGCCGCGTTGTGGATCCTCTAGAGGTCACAATTTTTATCCGATTAAGATGAAACTTAAACATATTTTTATATATCAAAGATCTCAGTCCCTTTTGATATTTGCGCATTTCAGACCATAACTTTCTGGATTATGGCCGCGGATTGTACAATAAATCGCTTTTGTTTTAGCTTGTTCTCTATCCATCTCATGCAAAATGGTGGGGGAGGGGTGGATGGCCGAATGATTAGCACGCGCGCACTGTATTTGAGCCTGTTATTGAGTCAACTGGCGTGGTTTCGAGTCCCCGGTTGTACGTGACAAGGAGTAGGGTTGCCTGTTCAACCTCATGGGTTTTCTCCGGGTCCTCCGGTTTCCTCTCACTGCTAGAGACCCCTACGCGCAAGCGAATTATTGAAATAAAATTAACCCATATGTTAGTCCCGAAATGGCCTAGTCTGTGGAGTGGACTTTAACCCCAATTCTCTCTTGCAAAAGTTTGGGCGCATCTTGCCTGGCAGCCGCTGGTTCACTCATAAGGTCTGTCATTGAGTCAACAGGCGTGGCTTCGATTCCCCGGTTGTACGTGACCAGGAGTAGGGTCGCCTGTCCAAGCTTGTGGGTTTTCTCCGGGTCCTCCTACTGCTAAAGACCCTCTACTCACAAGCAAATTATTGAAATTCAATTGACCCATGTGTTAGTCCCGAAATGATCTAGTTTGTGTCGAATGGACGTTCAATCCTGTTTCTCTTTCCTTTTGCATGCCCATTTTAGTTGATTTCCTTGTTCTAGAATTGACGCACAGGGTTTGAACTACTTTTTCCAGTCAAGATTAGAGACGGAAGGATAACGGGGTTATCAGGTTGGCTACGGTGATATGTACGGCGAATAGTTACATGTTTTTGTATGCTACTTCAAGTTTGTGTATCTCAGAATTGTGGTGGTCAAACTGGTAACACAATCTTTGGTGCAAAGACATGACTATTTGTTGCTGTCTATTGTGAAATGCATTTCAGAGACAACAATAACATTGACGTCAATAGGGAAATAAACGCCGGTCTCCCTAGTTGGAAATTTTTCAGCATTTAACAATCAGAGGTATCCTTGAAACTACATAGTGTAAATATTTTGTGGAAGCAAGTTGTTTTAATCTTTACATCAATTTCCTGACAAAATGAGGTGAAAAAATAATTCATAGCATAAAAGGCGTATGAAAAGGCTATTAATATTTTATTGCTCTGTGGATGCCACATTTTAAAAGATCACCACAAATAATAGATTTACATCCAAAATGTACAACATTAAGCAGCAAAAACTACATCTACAACATATCCATTTTGGGTTGTGGACTCATTTGGAAGAAATGTCATAGGATTACATGTTTGGCCATAAACAAAAAGTCTTAGAAATCCTTGAAATCTTATATGTAACTATTTATTTGTGCAAAATAAAATGCTCGGTTAAAATTTAAGCACAAAATTCAATAACTGCTAATTTGGAGTCAATATATGTTCAATTGAATATCCAAATATGTTCAAGAAAGGGCTTGGGGTGGGGAGGGTGAGCCAACCTAAATGAAATGAAGATATTTCATTGCAAACATAGATTTTACTTTCTCGAGAAAGGAAATGCAACAATTTCAGGTTTTAAAAGGTTAAAATTGTGTTAAGCCAGAGGAACACGGCAGCAAAATGCAGTTCACTCATGTTTTGAAAATTCTTAGCAGTACATAATTAGACTAGCTTTCTTAATTTTTAAATTTCTGACAAACAGATGGATACTTTTTCAATATCTGACAAAGACATGGATCCTTTCCAAGTTATTTAACAATGGAAATAAAGACACGCAAGACATTTTGGTTCATTCTACAACAGATCAGGCCCGTAGCCACACACCCCCCCCCCCCCCCCCGGAAAAAAAATTTGCTCACCATGTGCCCCCCCCCCCCCCCAAAAAAAAACTTCACTGCCCCTCCGAAGCTAGCAAGCTGGCTACGGGCCTGCAACAGATGAATAATTAAAATTTTGACAGCAATATTTGAGATAATCTGAAGAATTTCAGACAACTTTTCATGATTTTTAGGCAAAATTGAGTGAAATTATGATACCTTCTTCCCGTCTAACCTTTAGGATGCAGAGAAAGTAAAAATTATACATTAAAATATTTTACACTAATTTTGAAAAGTAAATAAACACTGAAAATAACAAAATTTGGACTAAAATCAAAAATTACTCACAAATTTGTCAAATATTTTTGAAATTTTACTTTTTCACTTTTTTTATTACCAAAATGTCATCAAATTTTCTGACAATTTGGAGTTCATATCATCAAATTTAGGCCCCTCATCCACTGTCAGGTTGTTCACATACAGGAGGCGAACCACCATTATTTCCCAATTGACTTCAATGTTAATTCTGTCCTCTTTGCCCACCTCCAATTTTTTGTTGGGCTGAATGCTTTTCACAACAGAGAGAGGAACAAATGGCCATGTCTTTGCACTAAAATTTGTATGAGGAATACCAACAAACTTTTGAGATACACAAACTTGAAGAAGCATACTAAAAACATGTAACTAGTTGCCGTACATACCACCGTAGTAAACCAGATAACCCCATTATCCTTCCGCCTTAAAATCATGAATATTTACCAAAACCTGGCAGAAAATGTTAGTTAATTCAAACCCTCTTCGTCCATTCTAGACCCAAAAATCAACAAATATGGGCATGAAAAGGGGAGAAAAGAGAATTGCTATAGACAGACGAACTACAATTTGGTGAAATGTAATGGTGGTCTGCATCCAGTTGAATGAAAATAATGCTGTAATTATCTCCCTTTTGCCATAACCCTTTATTTGAGGTCACAATTTTCCGCTTAGGAAAGTATGGCATGTAACCCCTCTAAATTAACCCATTCAGAGCAAAACTGTACGATGTAAAACCGTTAATAATAGAAAGTATTGATACTACCACGTAAACCCAAACGTTGCATCCCCCCCCCCCCCACTCCGTGTAATAGGATTCTCGAAAACAAGCCTCAAGCGATGTGACCAAAATTCTGGCCTAGTCTCCTAATCGTGAGCTTAACAGTAGATCCTAACTTGAGACTGACTAATAGCTGTTGTTTGAACCACGTCTTGTTACGGAGATGGGAGCCATGGTTGCTAAGGATGTGGTTTCCTTGTTAGTTGTACAGGACGAAGGGCCTGACAAAGATAGCTGTACAGATGTTTGGATGGGGCATAAAAAAAGCAAGTCCCCCAATAGGCCTACACATGAAAGATCCTTTGGCAGTTGGAATTTGATACAAGAGTAGGCTGTAGTCCTGCCGTTTCGGGCAAACTTTATCTTACAGCACACTGTATGGCAAATATGTCTGTCCTCCTTAACCCAGCCTTTCACCAGGCCCCAAGTTCACAAATCATTCTCAGATTTAAGTTAAGAATTTACTCAACTTTCAATCACTGTTTATGAGAAATACCTTTGATCCAGAAACACAAAACTTTGCACATAGTTTCTTATTGATATATTTGATACATTAAAACAACAAAAGTTTTATAAAGGGCTATATTTTAGTTTAAATAAGGCCAACAATTTTGAGTAAATTCTTAACTTAAGTCTGAGAATGCTTTGTAAACTCGGGACCTGGCAACCCTACAAATGGTACTTAAAAAATTGGAATAAAAACTGAGCATTAGACGATGAGTCAGCATCCACTCTGATATTACTACACTGGAGTGTTTCAATTAATAAAAGAAGAGTAAAATTTTATTTAAATTATTTATTACACTTAAATCACACTATCAAGACAGTTTCCTTTCCGTCTGAATTCTTTTCTGTGTAATTTAGATTGAAGCAACCAAAGTGGCCACGATAATTTAATGAGATGAGCATACCAGTTTATACAAATTTCTTTTATTTTATTTCTGAATATTTTCCCCCCGTTTCTGCGATTTGTGTAACATTGCCTATGTCCCCGTGCTAATCACTTCTTCTTAGCAGCAGATTTTGTGACTTTGCCTGCAGCCTCGGCCTTGGTTACCGACTTGATGACACCGACAGCAACGGTTTGTTTCATATCACGTACGGCAAATCGACCGAGTGGGGCGTAATCGTTGAAGGACTCGACACACATGGGTTTGCTGGGTACCAACACAACAATAGCAGCATCCCCAGATTTTACAAATTTGGGGGCATCCTCCAACTTTTTGCCAGATCGTCGATCGCATTTCTCTTGGATTTCAGAAAATTTACAGGCAATATGGGCGGTGTGACAATCCAAGACTGGAGAGTAGCCATTTCTAATCTCTCCTGGGTGGTTCAGAATGATGACCTACAAAATAGAAAATCATTAGCAACATTAGATTATGGAACCAGATGCAAGTCAATTCTACAAAAGTATCACCTGAGCGATTTTTATAACTGGGCAACAAACTACCTAATCGCCAACTTTGTTGCAATTTAATATTAAAGATAGGTTGCCTGGCAACCTAAGCCCACAGCAGCTAAATCGTCCGGGCAGTCAACAAGAATTGACACATATTTTTACGGTAATGATTGGTTTTTATAAAGTTTTGCCCCATGCTAACGTTTAGTATAGGATATTTTTAATATCATGGATTTAGCTGTTCAAATCATAAAAATTAATTTAAAATCAATATGCTTGTTCGTCTCAAGACCTTACACTTTGTGTATGAATCTGAAGTCAATCGGACGACAACTTTAGCTTCTAGAGCACCCACAAGATTTTTGAAGTGATCAAGGGCAGTAATTATCGGAAATCGCTTAAAATCAATAGGCTTCGACTCATGACCTTAAACACTGTGTATAAATTTCAAGTCAATGGGATATTAACTTTAGACTCTAGAGCGTCCACAAGATTTTTCAAAGTAATCAAGGGCCATAACTTTGGCAGTAATTATCGGAAATCGCTGAAAATCAATAGAATTATTTGTCTCGTAACCTCAAACACTGTATAAATTTAAAGTCAATCGGATATTCACTTTAGCCTCAAGAGCATTCACAAGATATTTCAGTGATCAAGGGCCATAACTCTGGAAGTAATTATCGGAGATCGCTGAAAATCAATAGGCTTCTTCGTCTCATGACCTTAAACACTGTATAAATTTAAAGTCAATCGGATATTAACTTTAGCCTCTAGAGCGTCCACAAGCAATTGTGGACGCCGGCCGGACGGAGGTGACGACAATATACGACCACATTTCATATAAAAACACCTGTTTAAAGAAAACTATGCACAGGTGGATTATTCCAATGTTTGCAAGATTGTGTCAGTGATATCTATTTTATCGTGTGTGCTGTACAAGGCATGTCATCGAGTTTTGACTACCAGCCTGTACTCGACAAAGAGTAGTGTTAGCAACCTTGTGGGTTTTCTCCAGGTCCTCCAACTGCTAAAGACCCTACACTAGAATGAATTAATGCAATAAAAGAGAACCATGTTAGTCGAGTGGACGTTAAACCCCATTCCTCTCTCTGGTTAATCATCGTGTGTGCGCCTTCATTAAGTCAATTCAGACAAATGTCATGGTTTCGTTTACCAGCTTGTACATGACGAGGAGTAGGGGTGGACCCATTGCTTAAGACTTGCCCCGATTGTGAAACCCATTTCTCCCCCTTGTGGTTTCCCCTGTAAGGTCCCGTGCACACAGATGGTATTTCACTGGAAGGAGAGTATATGCTAGTCTAAATTAAATCAAGCAAACAGGTTATCCAGTATTGTCAGTCTGTCTCGAGTGCTTACATATATTTCTGAAACCCAAACATTAAGTCCTGAGATAACAAATTACCTGGGCAGTGAAATCTTTTGCGCCCTTGGGTGCGTCGTTCTTGCTGTCTCCAGCAACATATCCACGTTTCAACTCCTTCACGGAGACGTTCTTGACGTTGAATCCAACATTGTCACCAGGTAAACCTTCAGTCAAAGATTCGTGATGCATCTCAACAGATTTAACCTGGAAATAAAGAAAACATCCTTTAATCTGTGAAGGCAGGTACTTCTGACTAGTTCATCAAGATTTCTCAGTGGCTTCTTCTCAGTGGTGCAGGACCGCGGGCTTGGCAAGGGAAATGCATAGTTGTTCGGATGGGACGTACCCAATTGAGACTTTTGGCAAGCGGAATTTTCCCATCCGTGTCACGTATCCGTATCGTATACGTGATACGTTGCGTCAATGTAGTTTTAGAGTTCTATTACAGCATGATGGAAGATATCTACCAAGATCACCATCAGTACTAGTCAAGTGCCTATTAGAGCCGACAATTTCCCGGAGGAAATAAAGTCGCCCAACGGTCGCTGAGCTATTAAAAAAAAATAATGTCGAATCTTATTAAAAAATCTTCAACTTCGACTCGACTGCAATTTTTGGTTCACTAATGTATCATTTCAGAAAGTTTATACCCCTTTACCACAGAATAAAATCATTTACAGAATTGCAATGTTCCGTTCCCTAAATTTAGCACGTAGATCAACCATCATGGTTAACATCGCGTCAAATATACACCTTCGTGTTCTAGAATACACAAAGATTCATAAAAACGCTACGATACAACAATTCTGCGTCTAAAAGTAGTAAAAAACATGGTAAAAGGACACGACAATGTAATACGGACCGTTTCCGTTTGAAAGCTGTTCGATCGTGCTGCCGTATCCGTGTGAGAAATGCACACACATTGATGACGTCACACGCAAAATCCATACAGATACGGGCCAGAAATTTACACTTGCCAAAAGTCTCTATTATTAGATATGTAGTGCCACCATACATGCAAATTTCCCTCCATTAGCCCAGTCAGAGTAGATCAGTAAGATGGAAACTCCCATTTCATTTTTATTGGTACTTTAGATCTCATAGTCAATGTTAAGATGATAGAATTGAACTGATTTAGCTGTTTTCACTGATTCCAATTAAAGATACATTATGGGAGATTCGATAATGAGTTGGCAGTTCTCACTATAATAGTTAAAAACTAGATAATGTAAAGGCAATTTGCTGAAAATTTCATTCAAATTGATCCACTATGAACCGAGAACAAAGCGATTGAATTTCCGCCTAGCCTTGATCATCATTACTAAAGTCAGTACGATAAACAGCATAGTCTGGATTATCCCTTTAATCGGCTCAAAATCCACTAAAGATCGCAGGCTAGCAATGCCATCTATAGTTATACTATAGTCTGGGATAGGTTAATTAATGTCTAATTTATATAACATTTCAGGCCTAAAGAAAGACCTGCAATAGACAGATAGCTCTTGCATAATGTATGTTTAATTTGTTTTTTTAAAATTGCCAATGGTAAACAAATGTATTGTCATTTGAGAAGAGCAGGTAACACGATTTTGAGTTACACAAAATCTATATTCCCGATCGTATAATTAACAATGGCATCATAGATTATGGCCTTAAGAATTGCTAACTATAAAATACATACCTCAGTTGTGAGTCCAGCTGGAGCAAAAGTGACTATCATACCAGGCTTAATAATACCAGTTTCAACTCGTCCTACAGGCACTGTTCCAATACCTCCAATTTTGTACACATCCTGGAGGGGAAGACGAAGGGCCTTGTTGGTTGGGCGTGTGGGTGGGAGAATGGCATCTAAGGCTTCAAAAAGGGTTTTCCCGGAAGCATTTCCCTCTTTTCTTTCTACAGACCAGCCAATCTTTTTGTACCACTCCATGTTAGTAGATTCTTCAAGCATGTTATCCCCATGGAAACCAGAGATTGGTACGAAAGCTACAGCTTTAGGATTGTATCCAATTTTCTTGATGTATCCAGATACTTCCTTGACGATTTCAGAAAATCGTTTTTCAGAATATTTAGGTTCTGTGCTGTCCATCTTGTTGATACCAATGATCAACTGTTTGACACCAAGAGTGTAAGCCAAGAGAGCGTGTTCTCTGGTTTGTCCGTCTTTGGAGATACCAGCTTCAAATTCTCCTACACCAGCAGCGACGATTAATACAGCGCAATCAGCCTGTGAGGTTCCTGTAATCATGTTCTTGATGAAATCTCGATGTCCGGGAGCATCAATAATAGTTACTTGGTATTTACCGGTTTCAAATTTCCACAGGGCAATATCAATTGTAATACCTCGTTCACGTTCAGCCTTCAATTTATCCAATACCCAGGCGTATTTGAAAGAGCCTTTGCCCATCTGTAGAAGAAAAAAATCAAATCTTAACACCATTTCATGTGGTCCTGTTCAGATCGGAGGAGCAGTTTAATACAAATTATGTAGCTTGTTCATGATGTGCTAGAGACTGAACATGGAATCTCTTTTCATGTTACTTTCAATTGTAAAATAATGTTGACAATCTGTGACACCGGAGGCACCAGGCTGTGCAGCAGCCGATGTAGCACCAGAGGGGAGGGCCACTCCCATAATTTTTTAAAGATTATATTCAGCCCCCCCCCACCATGCGTGACGCCCATGGCCGTAGCAGGAAAAATTGAACTTGTAGCACACTGTTGGAGGTTAACCCATTTCATTTTTTCGATTTGAATACAACGTAGTCCTGGCCAGATTCTGACCATTCGTTTCGTCCTTGGTTTTCATAAACTTTGTACTAACCTCATTGGCTTCTTTCTCGAATTTTTCGATGGTTCTTTTGTCAATACCACCACATTTGTAGATAAGATGACCGGTGGTGGTGGATTTACCGGAGTCGACATGACCAATGACAACAATGTTAATGTGAATTTTTTCTTTAGCCATGGTTGCTTCTTATGTATAGGTATATAAAACCTGGAAACAAAAGTAGATAATTGTATGTTTAATAAGAACAACCCTTCGAAGGACTAAGTCTGACAACAGTTCGGACTTACTGGATGAATTTTTCAGATTCAAACTTCAATTATAGACGAATGCATGTCAATGTGCAGCTTACAGATGATCGTTAAATTGAATACCTGACAACCCATCCCAAGATATTAGCTATACTGAAACTCATACATAAAGATAAGGAATGTCATATTCTGACAAATTTCAATCTGACAATGATATGGAAACTATCGGCACGACTGGGGCCAACATTTCCAGTTGCAGGTATGGTTCAAAGATGGAATTGAAACCTGTACGCTATAAGTATACGGAGCGCCCAGAACTTAAAATAACTTAAAATTAAAACAATATTGATTTTATTAAAACAAAATCAATTTTATTAAGATAACACATTTTTATAACAATATCTGAGTAGTCTTCAAAGAAAGAAATTGTATTAAAACAAATATAACTGGCTCGTATATTTGTCGGGACGAGTTGTCTTATATAGGGATGAGTTGTCTGTATACCGTTAAATTCAAGTGCATGTCGTATAGTTAGTTACTTTTGTTTTTGTGTAGGTCATTTTGAAATTCAACAACATATTATTCTAGTTGGCCACCATTGACAGCATTTCCGTGGGTTGTGCAATGCAATGGGCTGATCAATTGTTACTACAGCCATTACACATTGGGTTCAAAGATATTTTTCTTGTAATATTTTTTTTTAGGCGTCTCTGTACTGTGGGACACTCCAATGTACATAAGGAATAAGCTGGATTTACCAGAGCTAGACATTTGGCATCGTGAGAACAATGGTGACAATTGAAGGGGAAGTACCCACCTTATACAAAATGGCCGACACACACGTGGTATGATGTGATCGCCATGTTGCGTCACTCCTGCGCAATTGTTCAAAATTTCAGGAAAGTTCTAAATTCTTTCAAATAATATCAGTATAGATTGATATATAACATCAAAGACAATCTACCAAAGGAAATGACCGGCGTTTCTTTCAGACATACTGAGCAATAAGGGATATTTTCGTGTCACGAGCTGGTCGTGAAGATTTACCGTCGTGAACACCCAGTCAACACTCCATATTTTTCAACAATCCAGAATGAAATAGCAAAGAAATAACTTTTAACCATATCATAGGATTGTATAAAAGAAAAATATATAACGAGAGAATGTGATAACTAATTGAATGAGTTGTAAGGTCTATTACAATGGAGTCGAGTCGTGCCGACAATGGTAGATCCCGACAATAACACGTTGACGTGGATGCCGGTGTCATAATTTTTCACAATCATCATTCATATTTACTGTTATAAAAATTATTCCGGACAGCCAAATTATGATAACAATATTCCTTAACGTTTTCTGAACAACCAGGTATTGAAATTATAAAATGATGGCGAGAAATTATGGTGATTATAAATGGATTAAAAAAGCATCAAAAATTTACCGTGCTCACTCTATGTGCCACCGCAATGAAAAGGAAAGAGAAATGTTGGTCACGTGACATATATACTTCTACTAGAGGGGTCTGACAATTGACGTCATTGGTCGGGGGAAAAAGGTAGGCTAATTCTCCTTCCGGTAACATGGACGTGTTTTGATTGACAACATGTGGTGAATTTAAGAAAAGGTAATTCCTTGCTTACTTGCAGTGTGCCTAATGCACGGATTATGGTATCGGTAAATCATAACAGTACATTAGTCATTAGTCGGTAATTTTCCATTGCAATTATCCCGACTGGAAGTGGAAACCTGTTTTCTTTCCAGGTTTAGAACTAGAAGTAGAACTCAACAAGACCTAGTTTTAAAGTAGACTAAATAAGTGCTAAACGAAAGTTATCCAATAATAGATAGGCTGGTTAAAACCCTAAACGAAATAGCAGTCCAAAAGTGGTTCAATTACTTACATTATTTAAAAAAAAAACAACAAAAAACCCCAGGAATTTTGCATCCTCAGCAGATATATTTGATAAAGGTTATGCTTTCTAAGTTCTTGTGGCCCATGCCCATGGTAAAACAAAAAATAGTACTTTTTAGTAACGTAAGCCTATTTAATTATCTTAATAGCGTAGTAATTGTTGCTAAAATCATCGACATTCAACTCATGGTTGATGATGTCACTCCCTTTTTTAACTTTAATTATGCAAACCCTAAAACTATCCCTAATCCAATGTCAGTGGTACAGTAATATATAAGTTATATATTACTAATTACCTACCTTTTTAGAGTGCCATCAATTAAACATGATTGCCAAATCATTTGATGGGTTATTATTAGTTAATCAGATTCACTCACAAGATTTCTACCATTGATATTTGGTTGGTTTAATTAGTTTTATCCTTTTTTGAAGCCATAGAAAATTTAAAGTTTTTTGAAAAAGATTCATATATTATATATGATGCCAGGGGTCGAAATAACGCTTGTCTACTTGTCGAATCCAAGTAACATTTTCAATGGACAAGTAGAAAAAAAATCTAGAATAATATCAATAAAAATTAGGCTAAAATAGTAAAAATGTATGTCTGTTTTATCCATTCCAATAAAATTGGAAGAGGGGAACTTTTCATTTTAAAACAAATAATTAGACGTTATTTAACAGCACTCGACAATCTGTCCGTTTGTCTCCATAGTAGTGTCGTGGCGAATTTCTCTTCGATTAACAAGACTGAAACTTATATGGTCCTTTTAAGTAAGCTCCATACGTCTGGGAAAGGTTTCTTTGCATTAAAATAGTAACACTACTGAGTCTGTGAAAGCCGTAATGCAATTGGCTATTCCTTTTTAATCACCCAATCACAGTCAATATTACATAACTTCATGGCAATCATGGCTCAGCTGTAGGTCGTTAAATTGGCGATTTACGATATTAAAATGGAAGTTGTGATTAAAATTTAATTTGTCGATAATGTTTTGAGGTACATGGCGGTAAAAAATCTTAAAATTCTAATCGTATACATGTATATGGCCTTGCTTGACCATTAATTACATTGAAATTTGAATGCCAATCACAACCACAAGACGAACCGGCGGCATACATCAATTATAAAGCCTATCAGTATCATTTGATGTTTCGTTTTGTCTTAGGAAATAAAATATATTAGAAAATTCTTTCCGAAGAAAATTAAATATTTTGATTGTTGAATTCCGTTTGCCGTGGTTCATTTGGAATGTAAAATACACACGCATGCCTGAGGATACCGTATTATTTCAAATTATATTATCACCATGAGTCGGAAACGTGCGGACAACAAACGAGTCGGAATAGCGAAGATTCTTGAGTGAGAAAACGGTCGTCATTTGTTTCATTACTTCCGCCAAAATGTACTAAAGTGAACGCGGAGTCTGATTGTAAGCATCTCTTACAAATGAAATTGAAATACAACAAATTTATTTATTATTAATTTTTTTTTTTTTTTTTTTATTAAAAACGAAAATCAGTGGTGACAACTTGAAATGACCAAGTGACAAGTAAAAAATATTTCTACTTGTCACCTGAGACAAGTAAAATTTTACAAACATTTCAACCCCTGTATGATGCACAAAGACCTTAAACACCTGGTCAGCTATTGCTTGTAGTTTAATAACTAAATAACTGGAATTCATTTTCATTCCCAGGCTCGTTACATTACAAAGTCCTCTCTGGGCAGGGTCTAGTCGTTTGGATGGGACCCAAAAAACTGATGTCCTGTGTACACTTTGGCGTTCACGATGGCATTGACTTGGTACCAAATCAAAATTTCCCTTATAGTACACTGTTGGAATTACATTTTCTCTGGGGAGTGTTTGAATCTCCAGAGAGGGCTTTGTACCTCACTTTTCCAGCAAATAGTCCTTTCTTTCTCTAGAATATCCAGACAAAATTTTCCTCATAGCACATTCTATGTCCGTCATCATTGGCCCAGTAGTTGTTTTGAGAGGTATTCATGTAGCAAAATTTTCATAGACAAATTAGTTTGAATGTTTTTAGTCAAAACATCAAATCAGAGTTTGTACGCTGGAAGGAATCAGTAAACCACATTTCATTTTTTCTGTAGAAAATACCAGAACATGGCTAATGGAAATGATCGAAATAAATTTGAATTAGTTATAACCCTAACCGGAACTGTTGAAAAAGGTACAAATCTATTATTATGGTCAGTTTAAAAGAAATGAACAAATTTGATATTCCAGCAGTGTTATATTTATAATATTAGTATGTGCAGAAGGATCACAATACTCGCAAAACAAAACCGACAGACAAGACAAACTAAACAGTCAAAACCTGCGGGCAAGACAAACCACACAGGCATTGCAAGAAATTAAAAACAAATTATCAAATTAATACAGAATTCTTGTGAAAAGTTCAAACTTACCAGATGAAGATGAATGATGATAATGAAAGAGCTAAGGACCGTTTCGTTAATTTAAGTAAATGTATACCCTTAAAGATCCACCCATAGTTCCTTTTAATTGTTTTCATTGGTTGAAAAATTCCTGTCAGTTAATCATTGATTGGCTTCATTTTGACCATGTAGAAAACACTGAACCATATTTGGTGTTGGCTATTCTTTAAGAGATAGAGATACATTAACACCTCATTTGATTATGTAATTTGATTGAACATCTTTGACTCTTCCTCAGTTAGTTTTATTGTCATAGGATTAAGTTTTAAAACAATTACCTTTTATTCCCAATTTCCTTTTTGACATATCAATGCTTTAAAGCATGCCCCCAGTCTTTTACCTAGGGTTTTTCTGTCTGGACTGTTATGATCCATTTGATGGATTAAGAGCCTGGAAGGCTTAAGGCAAACCATAAAATTGAAGATAAATCATGTTAAAGACTAAGGTCACACCAATTTGATTTTTTGTTCTCTAGGAACATATGTAAAACATTACTATTTTATTTATGGAAAAATACTTATGTAAACAATACATTATGCAAGAGCTAAATCTGCCTATTGCGGGTCTTTCTTTAGGCCTGAAATATTATCTAAATTATTAAGACATTAATTAACCTATCCACAGTCTTCGATATTGCAAACAGGACTAACTGGTCAGTTTAAATCAACATTGATGTTGTTATCTTACCGTAAAAAGGTGGGCTTCTGACATCCAATACCTAAGACAAAATGAACATTTTAAAATTTGCACTCTTCTTGTGCCGAACGTAATTGATTAGAAATTACAGTAAAAACAGAAATGATTGAATGTAAATCAGTTTCTATACATTCATATTAAACTATTATATGCATTGCAACCTACATGTATTTGTGTCCATTTCTAGATGCCAAATATTAGCGATTTAGCTCCTTTAAAATCCACCTGAAGTACTTGGTTTATGCTGTTCAAAAGCCTTTTGTTATAAATTATACAGTTTAGAAATTTTTAACAAAACTATCTTTCACGTGGGTATTTATTTATTAAGATCTTGAGAACACAAATTAAATCGATGTGTCCTTAGTACAAGTGTTTAATTAGTGAGAAATTTGATATATATTTTACTGGCCTTAAAATTGATGTGGCCTTAGTGAAAATGCAAATCCCGCATAAAATCTGTAATCAAAAGAAAGTAAGTTGTCTACTAAAAAAAAAAAAAAACAAAAAAACTTGTGACCCTATTTTGACCCTATGCTAAAAATTAATTTAAAATTTTGAATCTTGTAACTCACCTATTTTCACCTAAAACGATGCAGTATTTTCTTTAGTACTAACTGTAATACATATTAACTTAATACAAAATTACTGTAAGGACAACTTGCGGTTTTATAGTCAGGTATTTCATTGTGTTGTGAAAGATATTTCATCATTGTTTGTCATTCTACCAAAGTCTTATTATATTTTGTATATACCTATAGATCTATTTTTATTGTTTATATATATATATACATAGCCATGTTAGGGCGACTGAATGAATTGGCAAACACTATGCTTTAGCAGGCCCGGATCCAGGATTTTGTCAAGGGGGGGGGGCATAAATTGGAGCAAAGCCTTAAGGGTAATCATCAGAGTGCCGCATGCATTAGTGGTTTGGTGTAGTCCCCAGAGTCTTCGTCACAGCCTCATTAAACAGAAACTAAAATCTGGGAATCCCATTGCTGCTTGCAGGTGCTGGTCTGATCAGTGACGACCAGTATCGCTGAGGGGGGGGGGCGTGCCTGTTTAGATCATAAGGTTAATCATTGAGTCACGTTAAGTGGATTTGATTCACAGCTGATATGTAACAAGGACTAGGTCACCTACCCAGCTGTGCGGTTTCCTTCCACTGCTAAATTATTGAAACAAAATTATACCATGTCGGTTACAATTGACCTCTCTCTCATTTGAAAAGTTGCTCATGCTTAACTTCTTAGTCAAATCCATCAAAGGACAGGCTTTAATTGTACCAGAGGAGGGGGGGGGGTGGCGGCGGAATGGTAAGCCTTTGCGCACTGTATCATAAGGTCTGTCATTGAGTCAATTGGAATTGTTTCGATTCCCCGGTTGTACGTGACAAGGAGTAGGGTCGCCTGTCCAACCTCATGGGTTTTCTCTGGGTGCTCCTGTTTCATCCCACTGCTAAAGTCCCAAACGCGCAAGGAAATTATTGAAA